GTATCATAAGCACAATGGAGCCCTTTTTTCTGTCTAAGTAATAACATTGTCATTTGCGGTTCAAGCCATCTGATATAAGAGAACATGGACAAAGCACTCATTCACACAGGTTTCCACATGGACCTGTGTCTTGCTTAATGCGAACTTCTTATCTGCTAGCAAGGTTGCAGGTACCTGTGAGTCACAGATCATGGGGAGAAGGAATGTATTTTAAAAACTCCTCAATTTCTTTTTCACTCTATAGATAGATAGAAAGATAGATAGATCCCACACATCCTCATATCACATGTATGTTTTGATCAGGAGGTTTCCTACTAAAAGGTACCAATAAGAGCTCCTAACAAAATAATATGCAATGGTTTGGTATGTTTCAGTAGACAATTTGGGTGATTTGGCTTTGAATTAGATTCATGCATTTATGCATAAGGTGAGACTGAGTAGGTCTTGGTCAAATTCACATCTGCAAAATGGGAATATTAAGGACCTGGTTACTAGTGATACTGGATAACTACAATTTATTGTAACTAACATCATGCGAGGTACTGTAAAAACACAATAAGGAAGCAAGGCAGATATGCAGATGGAGGCACTGGAGGATTGCAAATTCTAATTCACTGAAATAGGTAGGTGAGATACTAGTGGAGAGGAAAGAGGACACTAAGGTAATTCAAGAAAAGTTGTTTCATAGGAGTGTTATGATAATGAATAAAGATTGTATTTCCTACTTCTTTTGTATCAGACAAAATGCTATGGAAATATTGTAGGAGCAATTATGTTGATTTCATTGTTCTATAATATCAGCAGAATTCGTTTTAAAGACTTCAAGCTAGAGATATAACATATGCACCAAAAATAGACAAGATGCAGCTTCTGTCCTAGTATTTATTAAATAATCAAGCCACTTTCTAAATATACCTCTGAAGCAGAAAGAACAAGACTACCAGGCAGTGTGCTCCATTTGCTGTACACAGATAAGAAAATAACATGTTTTGAAAACACTACCTCTTCCCATTGAATAGAAGTCTATTTTGTAGAGAACGCTATCTTGTAACAAAATGCCACCGGTTGGTGTTCTGTCCCTAGCAAGACTGATTGGAGTATTAAGGCATTTGCAAAGGAGATTTCCATCTATGATGCTTTCCATTCAGTATAAGGACATATTATCTCAACATCTCCTAATAGTCTGTGAATGCACTGTGACACTGCCTATCTGCCATCTTTGGAAAAAGAATGACACTGTATTAATTGCATCACCAACATAGTATAACCTTGTATCTGCAGACACCTCGGGAGCTATAGGTATGATATTAATAGTCATACCAAGAACGGGTATGGGGGAAGAAAAACATAAAGAAAACGTATTGATACATTAACAGAAGGCACAAGTCATGCTTGAAACAGAGTTATTGATCACAGAAGATTCTAGGCTGCAAAGATTGTGAAGATTAGCTCTTTCCTTTGGTGTAATGTCAGCTTGGCCCACTTCAGCTTTAGATATTAAAACTATTTTGTATTATTTTTATGAGGATCAGTTAATCAAAGAGTTGGGAGAGATCTCAAGGTTATCTTGTTTCCTTCCAATGCAGAACATCCACTGCTATAGAATCACGGATTGGTAGTTACCTACTTAAAAGCCACTAAAAAAGGAGAGTATACCTTCTTCTGAACCAATCTATTCACAGTTCATAACATCAGGCACTCCTTCCTAATGGGTAATGTACTATCCTCTGGAGCAAAAGAAAAATAATTTCCACCAGCATTTATGTAACAGTTCTTCAAATATTTGAAGATAGCTATCATATAGCTTCTTCTCCAGACTGAATATTCCCATTTGTTCAGTCTTTTCTTAATTGATATGTTCTCCAATTCAGGACTCAGAAATAGTACCTTTGGAATAGCACATTTGCTCCAAGTAAAATAAAAATTTAACTAGGAACACTTATAGAATCTGTGACTCTAGAATTCTACTGTTCTACTTTAAGTGCTTTCCACAGTGGAATGAAAACCTTGTTTCAAATATATGTATATCTGTATGCAACTATGCCTTAGAGACACATTGTTACAGCAATTTTGTTTATATAATTCATATTATTTCTACAACTATATGAATTGCTATATGCACAGTTCTCTTATATAAATATTTTGCAATGGAGAAATCCATTGCAACACTGAGAAATCTGAAAATGCAGAAGTGTTATTTACTGAATACATGATATTTAATGGGGTCATGTATTGATTCAAAAACACCACATTAGATAATATGTAAATTTAATAATTTAATTTGTCTCCTCTCCCAACAGTCAACCACAAAGTCAAATAACTCCTGAGTTGTAAAATACTGTCTTCTTGTTCGCTAAGGCCAACAAGAAACATTTTCCAAAGAATCAAATATTTCTTAGTTCATTTAAAGTTTTGAATTCAATATTGAGATAAAGAAATTTAAGATCAAGTTTCACTGCCCTGAAGTCAAATGTAGGTGATTTGATGTATCCCAGCAGGGGTGAAGACATGTGTAAGATTTTTGGGAAAAGTGGAAGCACTCTGGAAATCCCTTACAACAACTATTTAAAATGTTGCTCAGCCTTTCTAAAGCATAGCTATAAAAACAAAAAAATTCCAACTTTGAGGCGCGCGCGTGTGTGTGTGTGTGTGTGTGCAGGTACATACTATGTAGTGCCTTCTTTTACCCCAAGGTAGAACAAATTTTAGTTCAGCAACTTATGTATATGTGTATGTGTGCATATACTGTATATATAACATACATTAAATATTTAAACACAAATATTTAATCTGACAGACAAATATTTGCAGTATAACCTATAAAATATCTAGGTAATGCTTGATTCAAAAAGAAAAATCCTTTCTTTTTTTCTTGGTATGCCTTGCAACACGAGAACTTCTCAAACCTGCTAACCACACAGTGTTTCTCTTGAAGATATGACTAGAAAATGTTTTCCCATAGTGAGCAAGCATGTGTTGCAATACACAGACTTGATATATTTTAAAATAATTTCTAAACAACAGAAATAATCCACAACAATAATGTTGATGTGTGGATATGCACTAGCTTCAAAACTCAGGTAAGTTTATTCAGTTTAACAGAATATTTTAAAATATAGTATTGATTGTGAAAAACAAGACTTTTCGTCAGCATTTGATGTGACCATTTTAACAAATCAAACATTTTTGTAAAGTGCAGGAAGAGTCCATCCTCTTGGTAATTAAGAATTCCAATGAATTTGAATATTGTTGGTAACAGTTGTAGTGTCAAAAGTTCTCAAATTCATATTGAACTACTCTGGTTCATGTGTTTCTGTCACCATAAACTATGAAAACTATAGAAAACTCTCAACATAAGGTTTGAAATCCTTGATTTTTTTCTGTAATTGATGTTCATATAAATGCTCCCTTTCAAATAAAACAGATGTTCAATCATGGATTTTCTTCTCTATTTGAATTAGGCACAAGTGTTTAAATGCTGGAAATTTTCCATTTTATGGCCACCAGGCTACATTAACTGCTATAGGAAATTCACTAATATGGAAGTTGTATGGAGCACAGCAGATGCAAGATTCATATTAAAGTATTTTTGACAAACATGTACAGCCTGTTGTTTTGCTTGGACTTCTTGTGTGTAGCGATGTACCACAGTTTTAAAAAAAAAATCTGAGCTGCTGATGACAATCATGTCTCAGCCGCAGGAATCCTGTACAGGAATCCTATACAGCCACCAGCCTCCAATATCTTACAGTTTTGACTTTTCAGAATCCACTGGAGTCATTTAAAGCAATCCTTCACAGAATGAAATTTGGCTGCAGGCTGTAGAATTTGACAGTCTTTGGGAGCATTAACAGAAAATAAGACTGGCATGTTCTTAGATAATGAGCCTGTTGGGATGTTAGAATCTATATTTCTTACCTCTCGTTCCACCTGCAACAACTATAAGCAACTCTTCTTTTTCTCCTCCTTCCAAAAGCCATGTGCTGATTACTGACTCTGATACAATGGTGTTGTTGATGATGAAAATGATTATGATGGCGGTGATAATGGTAATAATGCTGGTGTCTGTGTGCTAGTGTGAAAAGAATCTAGAGATTTTTTTTCTCAAGACCACCAATGGAACAGGGCTGGCTGGATCCAAGGTTTTATAGGGTTCTGAGAATGGAACAACATTGCTAGCTGCAATTTTCTAGCCTACCTTTAATGGAAGGGCAACTATTAAAGAAAAAGAAACCTGGCAATAGAAAAAAGACACGCACAGCCCACACAGACACACACAACCATACGCCCTATCTGTGCAAGCCCAGCAGGGGGTATATAGGGTGATTCATCTACTTTCGAACATTGCCCTCCCACCCCATAGGACTGCTCTGCCTACAAATAGGACTTATGAACATATGAAATAGGGGGTGCCACTTTGTCATAAGAAAACAGAATGAAATACATATTCTATAATTATTGGAAAAGTACACATTAGGGAAATATGCAACCATAATATAAGCATTCTCATGCCATAAACTGAAACAAGGATGCTGCAGAAATCTATAATGGAGTCAAATGAGTCCAGATTTCTATTGCAGATTCTGCAGCATCCAGGTTTTTCTAGGTTTCATAGGATTGTGGATCACTTTTTTTACTTCCTAAAACTATGCACAAGTTTAGTCGTAGTTATACAAAAGTTGCTGGAAAATGTGTTGACAAACACATCTTTATGTACTATTCATTAAAAAAAGAGTTATTTGCATCTCTGATCTCTAGTGTGTGCTGTGTAGCACACCTTTCTATGAATGCTTTGCTGATTGGTTGAATGTAGAGCTAAAATAAAAATACACAAAATGTCACATACGGTTGAAAATTCTGTAAATTATGGTGATCCTTCCCCCTGAAGGGGGTGTGTGCGTGTGGGTGGTCTGAATCTGTCAGTAGCAATCCAAACAGTATCCCAACAGTAATAGTATTAAAATATCTGTTTTAGCATTTACACAGACAAGATGGTGTACCTGCACATTTTGTTCTTGTTGTAAGAGGAGGCCCAGGAGGTCCAGTTCCTCCTTCTCCTGGCCGGGTAAGAAGCACTCTGATCTCATACTCCACATCTGGGTCCAGATGCCATAACTTGTAATTGGGTGAATCAACAATGTGAGTTTCAGCCCAATTCCCATTGGTTGTACGGTACTCCACTTCTTTCAGGATGATAGGCCCATCTCCAATGATGGAATTGGCATTTGGTTTGATCCACAGATAGGTGGCTCCAACTGCTAAAAGTTCTGGAGGTGCAATAGGAGTGGGAGGTTCTGTAAGCAAGAAAAAATAGATATTTGTGAATGCTTGCTGTTCATTTTATTTGAGAAGGGTTGCTTTCGTGCAATGCAAGAACAGTAGACCATATTCAAATGTTTTTCAAAGGTATGATTATCCATGGCACAAGCATAAAAAGATTCATCCACATTTCATCTACTTATTATGCCAAGCAATAATCTTTTATTTTGAAGAATTGTTTTACATGGTAGGAATACGTCTTTCGGGAAATGACTTGCTTGTTTTAAAGAAACACTTTATATATAAAGAATTTGTTGTGCAATCCTATTCAGATGCTGGAGTGGAACTTCCACCCTCATCCCAGGTCCCTACATACACCTATACCATAACTTCCATCAGAATCAATACTGTGAAGAACCCTATAGAACCCCACAGTTACCCAATTGTGTTAGAGGAACCTTCACACATAGTTTATACATACTTGGGCTTTGTTAAGAAATCCATAGGAGTGGCAAACCCTTTTCAGCCTGCCAGCTTAAGTCCAATACGGAAAAGGTTGTGGGGTCAAAGAGAGTGAGGAACAAAGTAGATGGGGCCAAAACAAAGTGAGCGTAAGTAAATCCCATTCATATTAATTTGGACAGTTTTCCACCAACCATACAACCCAAAGCTCAATTTTTACTAAGGAATAAACCACAGTGCAATCCTGCATTATACCCTGATTGTATGAAAAGTACCAGACAGCTACAAGCCTATCTGGCAGCTAAACAGCTTATACTCCAAGGCTTAAGGAGACCTCTATTCCATCTGTACTGGATGGAAAGTCCTTCAGCTTGGGAGATGTTTGAAAAAGTTTATTACCACCAGAAAAATAAACACACAGTTGATCTACATATTTGGAACTCTATATGTAGTAGATGTTGTGGCTGACATAATTCATATAAACTTGTTACATTGCTATTACTATTATTATTCTATTTCTATTTATTTATTTTTATTTCCCTCCCTCCTCATGCTATTGTTATTTTGATGCCTGTTGCAGTTTGTATGAACATGTGATTAAAAACGAAATAAAAAGTAGTAAGCCCCAGTTTAAATAATAAATACAAAACAGATCATTTAAAGTTCAAATTCCTTTAAATGTAAATTATCTCAAATCACTGACAGGAGATATGTTCAGAGTTGTGCAGAAAAATGCAGTTTTACATGGAAAATCCTGTCTTTAATTACTGATCAGTGATTGAAGATGAGAATGGGGACTTTCTGCACAGAGCTGAAGTAAGAAAGTGTCAGGTGGCAAAAGAATCCTTGAGGTCTAAATGGGAACCCTCATAGGTTGGGTACTCAACACCCTGATGTAAAGAGTTGAGGATAAAAGGTATAATGCTGCTTGCCCAGCACATGTTTTCAGTCAACACAGAGCCATTTTCTGAATATACTTTTCCTACTTCAGTTCACCCTGATTTCACCTTCAGACACCCTAATGGCTAAGTACTCATGTCATTCTATTTCTGAAAGGCTATATACGCTCTAATCAAAAGCTATCTTTCTAGACAGGCCATCTCATCCATTCTTAGTACCTACAGTTGGTCAATTACTAAATCTGGAAATGAAAGAATAGTGCCATTTTATTTATTGTTCAAACATTTCTGCCTGAGAAAGAATCCTGCTGTTTTTCAATCTCACAACACTTTTGCAAAGTAATCTGGGCAAATCTCACTGTAAGGCCTGTAAGCCTATGAACTTGGAAGATTATGGACATCCTACGCAGAATGGGAGGATAAAGAAGCAGTCTCCACTTCCCCATTCTTTCCACCTTGCAGATTAGCTAGACAACCAGCTTTAGACCAATAGTTTAGACTTCTGAAATGGGAAGAATCCTATGTCCCGGAACTATAAGGTGTTCTTTGAGACCTAAATATGGTTGCATTTTATAGAGATAATATTTTGTTGATACCTGAGGTGAACAGGCAGTTTTTAGTCCCAACACAGTGCATGTTATCTGTGAAACCAACATCTGTGGTGAAGTGCGGTATGTTTGGTTTCCAAGAAACCACATGGAAATACAATGGCTCTAAAACTGTTTTTGTGCTTCACCATTCCTATCCTTCTATGTGACCCCAGATGCCATGTTTCTACATGGTTGCTGCCAGGAATTTGGTAGCAAGAGTAGGTACCTGCAGTAGGTACTCCTGCCTATATTCATCAGTCTCCAAATCTGCCTGGCAACTGCTGAATTGCCAAAGGAAGCATACTGATTGGCTGTCTCTGCACTCCCTTTCTTCCCTGCTGGTGTGGCAACAGGATCTTACTGGTAGCAGGGCCTCATGCCACACTGCCTCCAACAGTAGAAGCCATGGAGACAGATGGGTCTGGTGTATCTGGTGGCTGCCTTGTGCTGGAGTGGCACTTTGAAGGGGCATCAGATTTGTGCCACTTGAGGAGTCAAATGTCTCTTCATGTGGTGGCTAGTCAGCACATGGGCAGCATGCAGACTTTCCCAACACCAAGTATCCTCCATCTTCCAACTCTGTTTCCCACCATATGCTCACTTCTCTCCCCAACAATCCTCGGGACTCTGCACATGCTCCACACACAGCTACAGGACTAACACCATCCTGGCAGGCAACCTGCACTTTCCCAAACAGATGCCCAGAAGGTTATGTGAACACATGCACAGGAAGTGGGCATGTGGTTGTGCTTGCACACTGGCACAGTGTGCAGTAGCAGTGGGGACACTTCTGCAGTGCTACTGAGGAGCAACAGCACTACTCTAGTGAATAGGCGGTTGCTTCACTGATCAGCCCCCCCCCCCCAAAAAAAAGAGGAGCAACTTGCTTAGGCCACTCTCAGGGAACTTGTGGGCCAAGGAGGAAGACACAGGCAAAGCAAGTAAGAGCAGTGCACCTGGGAACGATTTTCAGCCATGTGAGCTGATGGGATATAGGCTGCCATTTGGAAATGAGATGGAAAAAAAGCATGAAATGATGCATGAATGGAAACTGCACGTCTGTCTGAACCCAGGATACAAGGCTGTTAGTATGCAGGATTGTTTGTGAATGTAGCCAATGTAGACATCACCATGTACAGGAGTTTTATGATGTAAGCTTCACCACCATAGATTTAACTCAAGACTTGGGAATTAGATCACTGAATGTATATCTTTCCTCTTCAGAAGTCCTGGGTAGAAGATGTAACTTCACTTAAAAACAGCACCACACACTTGCAGCTTTTGGCCTCTTATTTATTTTTATTTTTATTTATTAAAACATTTTTATGCCGCCCCATTCGCCGAAGCCTCGGGGTGGCTTACAACATAGATAAAACAATAAGTTAAAATATCCATATAAAATAATCTTAATTAAAACACACATTATAAAATAAGCCGCCCTGGCCAGATAAAATTCAATTGTATTTAGCATTTAAAATGTTGCTTAAATAAAAAGGTCTTAGCCTGGCGCCGAAAAACAAATAACGACGGCGCCAGGCGGACCTCTCTAT